TGTAACTTAACAGACATGCATTTTGAAGCAGCTCCTTTAAATTTCTCTAAGGCTGGAGTGAATTCCTCCCCCCCCCTCAGACCACACTCCTTCTCACTCTAGGCCCTTTAACTCATGAGGGGAAAGCAGCATCCATTAAAGGACCTCCTTCAAATTTCACCTCTGTTAAGTTCCACAAGTGCTCCAAAACTGGATTCACTCCCACCCCCTCTGTCAGCCTCTCATTCTCATTCTAGGCACTTTTAACTCACGAGGGGAAAGCGATACTTGCAGCGTCCATGGGGAACCCTGGGGTTAAAGCAGGGGTTGCCAACCTTTTGGATCTCAGGGACCACCAAACTCATTATTTTAAAACCCGCGGACCACTAATGTGAATTTTGACTGACATGGCTTGCTGACATTGGTGGGAGGGAGAAGGAGGGGGGGAGGGAGGGAGGGAGAGAGAGAGAGAGAGAGATGAACTCACCTTGGAGGGCTGGTGATTCCTCTCCCCCTCCAAGGCAGCCCCATCCCATTCCCAGTTAAGTAATCCAAACCCTCCTCTGGTTCTTGCTTTTTTCCTTTGCCAAGTACTATTTTGTTAAGATCTCCAAAGTATTTTTTCTCCAATTTTATCGGGTTTGTTTGAAACAAATATAATAATCTCAGCAGTATATTCATTTTAATTGATGCTATTCTCCCTATTAACAATAATTGCAAATTTTTCCATTTTTCCAAATCCTTCTTAATTTGTTGTTTTAATTTGTAATAATTATCTTCCTTAAGCATCACATATCTTGCTGTTAACTGAATCCCTAGATATTTCACTTTCTTAGTAATCTGAATGCCTAATCTTGTTAACTCTTCTTTTGCTCCGCTGTAACATTTTTCACTAAAATCTTAGTTTTTTCTCTGTTTATTTTTAATCCTGGCCACTTTGCCATGCTCTTCAATTTTTTTCATTAATTTAGGTCCTGTTTCTAATGAATCTTCTAAAATAAAAACTAAATCATCAGCAAATCCCTGTAACTTATATTTTTCCTGTTTTATTTCCATAGCTTTTATCTCATCTTGTCTAAAGTTTCTATTTAGTACTTCTAATGTTAATGCAAATAGTAGTGGCAATAAAGGGGCATCCTTGTCTTGTTTCCTTTTCACCTTTTCAGTCATGTCTCCATTTACCACCACCTTTGCAGTTTGTTTATAATATATTGCCTTAATCATCTTAATAAATCTCTCCCCAAAGTTCATTCCTTTCAATTGTGCTAACATATATTGCCAGTCACATTGTCAAAGGCCTTCTGGGCATCTAAAAATTTCAATGCCATTTGCTTCTCTGGATGTGCTTCATAGTATTCTAAGATGTTCAGGATTATTCTCATATTGTCTTTTATTTGTGTCTTAGGTAAAAACCATTTTGATCTGAATGTATAAGTTGATTTTAAAATCTCTTTAGCCCTTCTGCAAATATAGAAGCAAATATTTTATAATCCACATTCAATAAAGATATCGGTCTATAATTTTTATCCGTTGCAGGTCTGCCTCTTCTTTTGGTATGAGAGTAATATATGCCTCCATCCAAGAATTTGGTACTTTTGCTTCTATCAATAATTCGTGAAATACTTCCAACATTGGGGTGTTTATAGAGTCCTGAAAAGTTTTATATAATTCTGCTTGTAGACCATCTGGACTGGGTGTTTTAGCATTTTTTTGTCTTTTAATTGCTTCTGTTAATTCCATTGTGTCAGGAAGTGCTCCATTCTAAATCCAAGAAAGAAATACTTAGACTCTTTTAATTAGAAAATGAAATGGTAGCAACCATAGAGTTCTGAATCTGAGGAATTAGGCGCATAAATCACATATACAAAGTGATGGAGTTGATCTCCCCCCCCAATAGTTCAAATGGTTCTTCCAATTAAAAATTGTGAATATCATCATGTGGACATCTTCAGGTGGTGATGAAGTTTCTGTCCGTTGACCTTGGCATACTTTGATAAAGGTTTGCAGCTGCGCAGAGAAAAGAAAGCTAAGCAAGAAATAGAAATCTAAGCAAGAATGTGCTCTCCCCCCCCCTCAGTTTATGGAATGCCAGTTTGTACCACCTCCAGCTCACTTCCCATACTTATCCCCCTCCTCCCCCCATTACTTATGGCAGCCGAAAGATGCAAAGCAATAGTAGAAGATCTTGAAGGCTGACATTCGGCCCTCCTAGTAAAAGACGTTAGTCCTATAAGAGAAAGAAATATAAAAGATACTAATTAATAACCATGTACAAACAATAAACATAGGCCTAGGGTTTATCAGGATACTTGGTACGAAATGCTTTGATCAGCCTAGGGGCTCTAACATCTTTCTTGTTGACCCATTCAGCTTGGGAAGAAGGGAAATGTTTCCAAGCAACCAAATATTGTAGTCGACCCTCCCATTTACAAGAGTCCAGAATTTCTTTAACTTCAAAATGTTGTTCACCCTCAATCAGCAGTGGTACAGGAGGAACAGTTTGGGTTGGCCTCAGATTGGAAGTATGTTCAGGTTTTAACAAACTAACATGGAAGCTCCACCAGTGGGTCCTCAAATCTTGCCCTCAGCGCAGTCATGAACTGGTCATAATTCAATAGCTGGGGAGCATTATCATTATGCAAAGTCACCATCCACTTTGCAGCTGTTCCCTCCAGAGCCCTGGTAACACATCTCACTTTGGCTGCTTCTGAGGAAAAATTTCTTCTGTATTCTTCCATATAGCTCCAAACTTGTGCTAGGAAAAACCACAGCTCTTTGGGATCTCCCCCACATTTTACTTCCAACAGAGGCAACTTGGGAGCTCTACGCCTTCTAGGAATTACACCTCCCACTGGGGCCCCCGGGGCTGCTGCTGGCTGACGCGCTGGCCCAGGTTGATTTATGGGGGTGGCTGCTCGGCTTCTTCTGGGGGGGCTGCCCTCCCCTCTTCCTCATACCTTTGTGCAGTGTGAGGTTCTCCAAAAGCCTCATTGAGGAGGTGCCTGGCTTGGTTCAGTAAAAAGTCTCTCCTTTCCCTCTCTTACCATGGCTCCTCTCTCCCATGTCAGTGGGTGGTGGTGACTCCTGGTGGGGGGGCCTCCTCTGGATCCTTCCAGCCGACTCCCAATGACCACTTGGGCTTCACAGCTGGGTTCTCTTCCAGATTAAGCTCTGCTAGTAATTCAGCTTCCCATGCCTCCTCCAGTAGCAAAGACTCTTGCCCTCCAATGGCGCCTAGGTCTTCTTGGTCACTAGTTGGAGATGACATGATAAGAAAAGATATCTTTTACTGGAAATGAAGTGGTAGCAACCATAGAATTCTGAATCTGAGGAATTAGGCGCGTAAATCACATATACAAAGTGATGGAGTTGATCCCACCCCCAATAGTTCAAATGGTTCTTCCAATTAACAGTTGTGAATATCATCATGTGGACATCTTCAGGTGGTGATGAAGTTTCTGTCCGTTGACCTTGGCATACTTTGATAAAGGTTTGCAGCTGTGCAGAGAAATAGAAAGAGAAAGAGAAGCAAGAAATAGAAAGCTAAGCAAGAATGTGCTCTCCCCCCCCCCCAGTTAAAACAATGCCAGTTTGTACCACCTCCAGCTCGCTTCCCATACTTATCCCCCCTCCTCCCCCCCATTACTTATGGCAGCCGAAAGATGCAAAGCAATAGTAGAAGATCTTGAAGGCTGACACATCGTTATTCTTTCTTCTAATGTTGCTTTAATTGTATCTGATACTGTAGGTAGATCTGCTTTTTCTAGATATCATTTTATTTTTCCTTCTGAGATTTCCTCTTGCTAATATAATTTTTAGTAATAATTTTGGATTATTTTCTTTTTATGCTCACTCCGATAATAAAAAGTCCTTTCATCATCTATTAGTTGATGAGTCAATTTTTTCGCTTTATCCTTTTTTTGTCTTCTGATTTATTTCCATTTTCAAAAAAGTTTTATTTAGTTCTTTTAATTTTTGTGCTAATTCTTCTTTATTAAGTTCAATTCATGTTTTTTAAGTCCATTTGATTTTTTATATTCTTTTTTGTGGATTGTTTTCTATTTTTTCCCTAGCCTTCTCTAGCCTTTTCTCTAGCACTCTTCAATATTCTTTTGAGTTTGCCTTTTCTTTTTGTTTCTCTTTCCATATATGTTATAATTAGTCCTTTGCAGTATTCCAAACATTTTGCCACAAAGTTTCTTCTTTTCTATTTTCTTTAAAGAAAAAAACCATTTTTTGAGAAAAGGAATTGAATAAATTCCTTTTTCTTTCAGTATTAATGCATTCATTGTCCATCTTGGCTTCATTTTTTGTCCCCTCCATATAACTTTTATTGGTTTGTGGTTTGCCTAGGTACTTATTTCAATATGCATTTCTGATATCTAGAGCTTGAATGACTCCTGATCCAGGAAAAGCCACAACCTGAAGTTGTGCAAAGGATCTCCTAGCTGCAACTGCCACCTGCTCTTCCAAATGAATCGCCAAATTGCAGACCAGATCTGTCTGGAGTAATGCCACCCCATTCAGAACTAAGGATTCAAAGTCCTGGATCTTTGGGGTCCATACACCCAAAGCCATTTGGTCTTGTTGTGGTGGTGCAGTGGTTAGAATGCAGTACTGCAGGCTACTTCTGCTGATTACTGGCTGCCTGCAGTTTGGCAGTTCAGTTCTCACTGGCTCAAGGTTGATTCAGCCTTCCATCCTTCTGAGATCAGTAAAATGGGGATCCAGATTGTTGAGAGAAATATGCTGACTCTGTAAACTGCTTACAGAGGGTTGTAAAGCCCTGTGGAGCACTATATAAGTCTAAGTGCTGCTGCTTGGCAGGATTCAGCCAAAGCCTGTTGTACCCCAATCAAGCTCCAATAGCCCCCAGACATTATAAGATGACAGCAACAACAACAGCCAGGGATGGACACAGTTGAGTATCATCAATTTAGACATTATTGTTATCGTCATAGATATGATACCACGCAAGTGACTCTTTCTCTCACTTACTCTCTCTCTCTCTCTCTTTGTAGACAGTGATTGTGGGTTCCTACCTCATTGCACATGGATTTTTCAGTGTATATGCCATGTGTGTGGACACACTTTTCCTTTGTTTCTGTAAGTATCTTGTTTAAACTGCTAAATGGTGCCAGCCACTATTGCTATATTTATGCTTTATCCAAACGTAGATGGTTCTTTATTGACTCCAAAGCTGCTCCTGAGTTACACTAGCATTAAACCTGGAATTCAATCCTGATGGGGCTCCAGGTTGACTCAGCCTTCCACAGCACTAGCAGCTTAGCAGATGTGTATAGCACTTCATAGTGCTTTACAGCCCTCTCTTAAGTGGTTTACAGAGTCAGCATGTTGCCCCTAACAATCTAGAACCTCATTTTACTGACCTCGGAAGGATAGAAGGCTGACTCAACCTTGAGCAGTGAGAATCAAACTCGGCAAAATTAGTCTGCTATACTGCTTTCTAACCACACCGTCCTTCTGAGGTTGGTAAAAGGAGGACCCAGATTACTGTGGGCAATATGCAAATAATGCTTATACCATGTAAATCATGCAGAAAGTGCTGTAAAGCACTATGGGGCAATATTATAAGCCTAAATGCTAATGCTGTTGCATTAAATTAGGAGATTATGTGGGATACATTGCAAAGGCCTTCTTTTATATCTTCTTCATCCACAAAATAATGAATTCTCAAAGGTAGCACTGGTAAACGTTGATAGACAACTTAGAGATCAGAAAGGGATGGTCCTAACTAAATTTATTCTTCCTTTGCCAGGAAACTGCATTCTAGTGCTATTCCAAAGATAGCACATTAGTCCGTTGTAGTTTAAGCAAAAGGCAATATTACAAAAAGGTTGCCACTCATTCTACAACTGTTTGATGTTGTGATGCACAGAAGAGTTATAATGGATCGTAGTTATAGTCATTGCAGCTTTCCTGTGGTGAATGTAATTTAGGGGCTTGGCTACCAGTTTGCAATTACAATGGTTGCAGCATCCTATGGTACTTGATCATAATTTGTGGCTTTTACTGCTGGCTTCCAATAAGCAAAATCAAGGGGGGGAGTCAACAGGAGGCTACAAATAGGATTCATGTAATGTCACATCTAAAAACAGCCACTTGATTTGCCAGAATTGTCATTGTAAATCAGTGCAGTCATATGACATTGCATTTTATACGTCATTTAGTGATGGAATTGCCAGTTACAATGACCATAGTTAACTAAGGACTTCTTGTACTTCAAAGTAAGGTTTACTGTATTTCCATGTCATAGTTCCTAATCAGATAAGAATTTATTTGGCTCAGGGATATTAGACTGACCAAAAGGTACAGAAGGTACAGAATATGTACTCTATATACTATTAATACTATACTCACTAAGTACATACTAATATGTACTCACTATACTATTAATCATTTTATAGACATAAAAACAGACTTAACAGTGTCACTAAAAGGAAGCAGCATAGCAATAAAAAATGGACTTTTAGCTTCTGCCCATAATTCTGCTTCTGCATTTCTCATCTGTTATTTAAAAGATGCAAACTTTCATAGCTATATTGATCAGAAAAAATGAGAAGGAATTTTTATTTGTGATCCTGACAAGAGTCTGTTTATATTAGGGACTATTCTGTATTTTGTTGAAATGACAAGTACAGAAAATAAGAAAATAGTCATTTATAGTGTAGGGTGAATTATACTGAGCATTAGTCATACTTACACTCCTTTTTTCCCTTGCTGTTACTCTGCTAGGTAGTGTTTGGTTATAAAACAGATTTGCTAATCCAGTGTTTTTCTAGATGACCTCCATAAAGCAGGATATGACACTTAGTTCAGACACCAGACTAGAAAAGTGAGAGCTTTTTAATTTAGATGTCAGAGTTCCAATTAAACTTTCCAGACAATTCAAAACTCCGAGACAAAGTCCATCAAAGTAAGAATTGTCTGATAAAGACATGTTGGCACATCTGGGGAAAATCCAAATCAGAATTCCTGTATTTTCCCACTTAAACTCATACCCATTTAGTGACTGCCCAGGTCACATTAACCAATCAACCTCCTGTCTCAGCTTCCACCAAATTCCAGTCACTCCCCTCCAGATGCCAGCAACTTGTCTCTGGCAAAAGAATGTTGTTGTGGCTATACTCCTTTTGCTACTCTCCCATTCCTACAGCTTGCCCATCCCCTGCTGTGGCAGCCCGGAATCTGAATCAAGATGGATCCGGGGCTGACAGGCTGCCTCCCCTCAAGCGATGAGAATGTACTGAAATGAGACAAGTGACAGGAGGTTAGGAATTGGTACTAACTAACCACCTGCTTCCCCCCCCCCCAGGGGGGCTCTTCAATTTATCGGGAAATTTCTCGTGAAACTGTCTCACCAAAACCTATCTGCCTTTATATCCCAACTGTTCACCCAGGTGGCATCAGACAAAAGGTACTCCTTCCAATGGATTAGATATTGTAATCGACCCCTATATGATCTAGAGTCCAATATTTTCTTTACTTCATAATGTGTCTCACCCTGTACTACTATTGGCTTGGGAGTGGGTTGATTTCTTGGTCTTAATTGTGAGGTAACAGCCAGTTTCAATAAATTACTATGAAATACCAGATGCACTTTCCCTAATAAACAAGGGAGACTTAGTTGCACAGTTACCGGATTTATCACTTTCACTATGGGAAATGGTCCTAGGAATTTTGGATCCACTTTCTTTGTAGGCAACTTTAATCTAAGATATTTAGTGGACAAGTAGACCTGATCTCCCACTTTAAAGGGGGCTTGTCCTCCTGATATTTGTATTTCTCAGCAGCTTGGGCAAGGGCACACATGGCACTGTTTTAATAAGTCCATCCACTCAGTTTGGGACATTGAGGTTTTTAACTCAGGCATAGGCACAAAGTCCATTCTACTGGTGACTTGGAAAGGAGCTAGCCCAGTACTACTGTGGATTGCATTGTTGTAGGCTACTTCCATGAAAGGTAGCAGATCAGCCCAATTATCTTGGTGGTTAGATAATTGACTAGAATGTATTTTAAAGCAGCCTTTCTTCCTATTGCAGTGTTTATTGTAGCATGATGAAAAGCTAATTTATTTTGTGATTTTGCAAGCAGTAACTTCATCCTTTCCACATCCATTAATTCACAGAAATTCCCTCTGCTTTACTTGCAAGATTGTGCTATAATACAGCATAGAAATAGGCTACTCTAAGCTGTCTTGTTCTTTGCTTGGTGGAGGAATCTTAATTGCAATTAACTTCAACATTTCCTTTTTTTCTCTCCCCTTTTGCTTTGTATCTCTTTGCCTTGTTTATTTTTTGCTTTGCTTCTCTTGGTTCATTCTTTTATGGATGCTTTCTCTGTCTTGTTTGGGATTCCAAAAGGCGAAGATCTGGAAAGGAACGATGGAACTCCTGAGCGGCCTTATTACATGTCCTCTGCATTGAGTGAAATCCTCCTGAAGGGAAGCCTAAAATCTTCCAAAAGTGCTGAGAGTCAAGAATAGGGACAATGCACCAATGGGAAAGATGTATGCAGGTGTCCCACTGCAAGCCTTCTATGTGCAGATGCTGTACCTTCATGGGCAAAGTTTGATATTCTAAGAAATGATGGGTGCTCTTGACTTCCATCAAACAAGTAGCTATTGATGGTATATACTATAATCTGTTTCTGTCCAGGAGATTTACCAAAAGACTTGAAATTGGAGGGCGAATGTGTTTAAAGTTGAAAAAAATGCCTCAGTATGATTGTGCTGTTGCTGTCTTAACTATGGTTGCTTTTGGCACAATATCTTGTCAAGTGTTTGTGCACTTGATAGATATCTGTATAGCAGCTGCTTGGAAATAAATAAAATGCTTTAACAAGTAAGTTTGCTTACTTAATAGTGTACCTTCCATTGGTTGAATAGATTTAGAATTAGTATATAATTGCAATTGCAGTTATATACAAACAGAAATAAATAGTGGGATGAAGATAACCATGATGAGCACCATTTCTCTGAGATTAGTTTCAGTTCTTTAAAAATATCTTGCTTCATTACAAGTACTTTATTGCTGCTTTAAACTAGAAGCAAACCCCTCCAGGGTAGGAAGTTCTTGGAGAGTCTTCTTCTGTCTTTCTGTTTCCATGTGTTATATAGGGATGCAATCAACAAAAGGCATAAAAGATTAACACAACTGTTCTAAAGGGGGAATGCTGAAAGATTAAAAAAGACAGATTCTTATCTGCTATTTGCATATTTCACTTGTAACACTTGGTGTTTTCCTACTTATGAGTAGGAATTTTTTTTCTAGGGAAGTTTAATTTTAGAGAAGAATAATTTTCAGATGTGAATAATTAATAGGAAATCTTCGTATAACTCCACTTTTGCTTTGCTAATGACAGTTTCTATTATCCAATTTCTTTGTATCCCATGGGAGAAAAAAAGACTTCAGACTTCATGGATGTTGTCTGGAATCTTTGAGAATGGCAAGATTTATCCCCTTACTTTAAGACAGGGTTTTAAAAAGTCCATAATCAGATCTTTTTGGGTGGAGAAAACTAACATCCTTTCTGTTGACTACAGGAAGAGGAAAATTCTCAAATCAGAATCATTTTCAGTCTAATTATATATGTCCATTATATGTACTTATCTGCTCATGGTAAGATCTAATCCCTATTGCAAGCAGTGGTCAAGTTTCCCTTAAGTTCTATAAACCAGGATTACTCCTATGTAATGCTTAAGCTATCTCCCCTGTGCTAGTCCCCAAAAGATCTTTTCACATCCCTTTGCTTGGGGATTTGTGTTTCTTTGCAGTGGAAGACCTGGAGCGTAATGATGGCTCTACTGAGAAGCCTTACTTCATGTCATCTCACCTGAGAAAACTGCTGAAGAAGACTAATAAACAGACAGATGCATGATTTGGCAAGCCTGTCTTTCCATGAGACAGAGTGAAATGTACCAATTTGACTGTTGTCAAGATAAGCAGCATCTGTGAGGTTCTACTACCCCTAGCTGTGCCATATAAATGTAGTGTGGGCAAAATTAGACACCTCTCGTATCTTTTGGTTTTTGAGTGTACAGGTTTTTGTTTCTTTTGCCTTTTAAAGTGATAAATTAACCACTGGTCTAGCTTATAGCTATAAGGCATTTGGTCATGCCAGCCACATGACCATGGAGACATCTTAGGACAGCACTGGCTCTTCGGCTTTATAACAGAAATGAGCACTGCCCTCTAGAGCCGGAAACGACTAGCACATATGTGCGAGGGGAACCTTTACCTTTACAATAGCTATAGCTTAGAAATACACCATAATAAATCACTGAGATCTGTTAAGACTGAGACCAGTTAAGAAAACCATCCATCCTATTGGACTTGGACTGTTTAAACATTGGGTCAGCAATTCTTGCTTGCTAATATAGGTAAAGTAAACTATACAGACAGTGCTAAATGGTACAAGTGATCCAATGAAGCTGCATTTGATCCAGTTTAGTTATTAACCATGTGTTCCAAAAGTTTTTATTTTTCTTGTAATAGCATTTATTTCATATAATCATTGGCCACTTAAAAGGTCACCTTAAAGAACTCAATGATCCCAGGATATTATATATTAATGTTTATGGAAAAATCTATTTTCTAAAATTTACTTCACTGCCACTCTACATCCCTAATGCAATTTAATAATGACACCAAACACAATGAATAGTAAATCCAGGTAAGAAAAGTATATCATAGGAAAAGATTGTTAAAACTGGGAAGGAAAGTTTGACAGTAGCTTTGTTTTTGTAATGAAAATGATCAAAATCATATAAAACAATAACATCATCATGAAATATGAAATAAATCAATACATGACAAGTATGGAGCCAGAATAATAGAAAAGGTTCAAAATTATGTACTATATAATCAGCAATTTACTTTGAAATTTCTTCTAAAAAGCCATGTTATTTTTAAGCTGCCCAAGTAAATTTAACTTGATTTTTGGTTTTTTATATTGCTGTACTTTTCACAGAAAATATAACTGAAATATTAAACATTTTGTTTTGTAAATTTCTTTAGCATCCTTTTTAATTGCACACAGTACTATAATGAACATACAGTAGATGCCTGCAAATTACCATTAAAAAGTTTATCTCTTCTTTCTGTCTTTTAAGCTTGTGGAAGATATAAAAATTGTCTTTCAAAATCATTTCTTTCTTTTTATGTATTTCTTGCAAAATAGGCAAGGTGTAGCAGATAAGTAGCATAATTGTCATTTAAGGAACTCAAACATAAAATAATCTTTGGGTAAACACATTAGCAAACTTCATAAAAACTCCCACAAAACCCTGCTTATTGTGATAAGACAGGGGTATCAAACTCAAGGCTCAGCTGGATCCGGCCAGCGAGGTGCTTAGATCTGGCCCACGGGGCTGCCCTGGAAACAGCAGACTGTTAGTGCCTCTGCCAGTGAAAACAGAGCTCAGGGAGGCCGCCGAAGACCTCCAAAATAGGCTCCATTTTTGGCTGTGATGGCTTCTTACAGCCCCCTGCCAGTGAAAACAGAGGCCCAGGAAGGCTGTGCACTCCATTTTTGCTGGCAGTGGGGTGCACGCTCAAAAATTAGAGCCTCAATGAGTGATGTCGAGCTGGCTACACACACCTTGACCACACACACCCTGGCCCTCCAAGATCGAACACAACCCTGATGCAACCCTCAATGAAATCAAGTTTGACACCACTGTGTTAAGAGATTTAAGTGCTATTAGTACACCATCTGTCCTTTCACGATTAAGTCAATAATAGTGATGCCAGAGACAGGGGAAGTAGAAGCCATCAAAGACACAGGCTGCACCCGCTGCCTTCCACAGTCGCAAGGCTGGGCATAAAGACGAGACCCCTAGCAAACCTCATATGATTTGAGCAGGTCAATGGGTCACTAATAGGAGGGAGCCCAGCTATGCATGTCACTCAAACTGTCAAACTAGAGATAGGATGCCACTGGGAGCTAATCCCGTTCGTAGTGGTGACAAAATGACAGTCTGTCATACTAAGACTGGCTTGGCTAGACAAATGGGGCTCAGCAATCACCTGGGAAAGGGGGTTACTGAAAATTGAAACTGACACTGGTCCAGACCCACCCCCAACCTTAACAGAGAGGGAAGCCCTCCAGCAGCTGAGTGACACTAACTGGGAAGAAAAAGCTGCCATAACGTCAGAGCCACTCCACTCCCCAGATCCCAAGAGAATACCAGGACTTAGCAGAGATGTTTAGTGAAGAGGAATACAATACTCTACACACACACACAACCCACAGACAGCGCAACTGACTTCATGCCAGGGGACTAAAGTACCAAAACCATGACTCCCGAGAAGATGAAAGAGCTAAGGGACTATGTTAACACCAACCTAGCCTGGCGGTTTATACAACCAGCAAAAGCCTGCCCTATTTAAAGAGAAGAAAGATGGGTCGATGAGGCTCTGTGTTGATTTTAGAGGAATAAATGCAGTATGTGTGGAAAACACCTACCCACTGCCACGAAAGAAGTATACGTTGTCCCACCTGGCCAAGGGGAAGGTATTCATCAAACTAGACTTGCAGGAGACATACTACTGTGTCTGAATTAGAGGTGATAAATTGAAACCTGCTTTTAACTGCCCACTAGGCAGCTTCCAATTCAAAATAATGCCGTTTAGGTTACAAGGAGCCCCTGCCGTCTTCATGCAATTAATGCTATATGTGCACCTATATAAAGGGGTCCTTGTCTACTTGGACAATATTCTTATATTTAGTGAAACAATAGAGAAATGTGAAGCTAGTGCACCAAGTTCTGAAAAAACTACTCACAGCATAGCTATACATCAAGCTGTCCATGCAAGTCCCACAAGACCGCTGTGGACTACTTGGGCTACCTAATGTCAGCCTCAAGATCTCTTCGGGTACCCTAACTGCTGTCTATCTCATTTATCTCTCCCATATTCTACCTACTTTATCTTCTCTACTACTAGGCTTAATTCTTTCGGCTGTCATTAGCAACGGGGGAGGGGTAATTGTGGGGGGAAGAGAGCTGGAGGTGTTTTGCATTCCTTTACTGTGGGTAAGCAAAAGGAGGGGGTGTATGATTTCTTCCTTTCAACTTTCCATTTCCTTGCTAGCTTCTATCCCTTTTTGCGCAGCTGCGAAGTCTTATCAAAATATGTCAAGGTCAACGGACAGAGGCCTCATCACCACCTGAAGATACCCACATGATCATATTCAGAACTTTTAATTGGAAGAGACTTCTGGACTTTGGGGGGTGGGAACAATTCTATTCCTTTGTATATTGATCTGCGCGCCAAATTCTCAGTTTCGGAATTCCATCTGTAGCTTCCCCTTCAAAACCCAAGAAAGAAATACCCAGACTCCATGGATAAGAGCAAAGTTATTCTTTTACTGGGAATTGAAGAGGAGAACACACTGACACCTAGTGTCAAATGAAATGGAGCCAGCAAAAATCAAAGTAGTACTAGACTGGAAGCCCTCTCACACTCACAGACAACTCCAAAGCTTTCTAGGGTTAGCCAACTTCTATAGGCAATTCATCCCCTCCGCCAAAATAGCCTTGCCCGTACTAAACTATTAAACTACTACTAAAACCTGGGGGGGGGCAGAAACCCCATCCTGAAACTGTACTTTGGAATGTCAGCAGGCATTTGAAACATTAAAAAGACTGTTGAGGAACCCACCCTTAAACACCCTGGCCCTGACCAGCTTTTTGTAGTGCAAGCAGATGCCAGCAATGTCGCATTCACCACTGTCCTACTCCAAAGAAATACAAGTGGGGACCTGCAACCATGTGCTTATACTTCCAAAAAACTGACTGACATTGAAAGGAGGTGGGCAGTATGGGAGAAAGAAGCATATGCAGTTTGATAGGCATTGCTAACCTGGAGGGCAGTCAAGAACCGTTCGAGTCTAGACTGATCACAAAAACTTAGAAGTGCTAAAAAGAACCCAGAAACTCTCCCCAAAGCAGGTTCACTGGACGCAATACTTCAAACAGTTTAACTTCGAACTAAAGTACATCCCAGGGGGAAGAACCTACTCGCCAATGCCATATCCAGAAAACCACAATTTAATAGCAAACTACAGGAAGTAATCCACATGATGATTCCTGCCTCCCACCCAGCAGCACAAGCCACCACTCAGTCACAAACCAGATGACAAAACCCATAGACAGTGGAGGGGCATGACCCAAACCCTCAAGAATGAACTACTGGCTTCCAGTTGACATTGCAGTGAGAATGGCTTGGAGATTAGCAGGCTCTGCTGAGCCCCAAGAAATCCAGCTGGCAACTGTTGTTGGGAGACCCTCAGAAGTGGGATGGTACCAGTTCTGCCCAGCTCTATAGAACTAGTAGCTCTTAAGAGCAGCAGACACTGAACCAGTTCTTTGTTTGCTGCTGTTTGGTCTACCTGCTCGCCCAGGCTCTTACCTGTCCTGCTTTTTCAACCTCAGCTGCTTTGCGTGGCACAGCTGAGGTTGAAAAAGCAGGAAAAAAGAGGCTTTCCAAACACTGCGCACCTATGTGCAGTGCTTTTCAGCTGTCCGGGTGGCACAGCTAAAGGTTTTTTTACATGCGCACACAAAACATAGTCACCGAACCGATAGTAACACCAGTTGAATCCCACCACTGGAGATCCTATGGGGTCAAAGCACTTCATGGACCATGAGGAACTTGCAATTTCCTCATTAGGTCAGAAGCAAGCTCTCCTGAGCGGCAGCAGGGACAATGGCCATTTTTGGCAATCACAAGCTGGGACAACCGGGACCAAAAGATTTGTGC